TTTTATTTAAAAAATCTCAAAAATTAACTATAACTAGTCTATAGTACATACTTTGATTTCTAATACTTTGTTTCACATCCTTTATTATCTATAACTAGCTCAAGGCATTTTGACATTGATTATACTAATTTTTGACATAATCTCACATCAATTTTTTTCTATTTCTCCTCTATTATTCTAATAAAAACCTCTTGCGATATGGATTTTTTTATAAATCATCAAGTTAACCCTTTTCTCCACCCTTTTTTTCATAATTGATCATAAGTTCTCAATTGGATTGAGATCTGATGAGTATAATGGCCAATCAATCACATAGAGACACTGATCATTCAATAAAATGGTTGTAAGCTTAGCATGATACTTAGGGTCATTATCTTATTAAAATGTCCACTTGTTACCAAGAATCTGATTTGCTTGCTCAAATAAATTTTCAGTCAGTATTTCATGATATAATTCACCATTCATAATTTCTACAAAAGTTTTAAATCTAATAATTCTCTTCATGCAGAATGCTCCCCACACATGCACTTTAAACAGATATTTCATAATTTCTTGAGTTGGCACTGGTTGTCCAGCTTTATAATAAACCTGAACCATATTCCGAAACATTTAGAAGGTGGATTTATCAGAGAAAATTTTAGTATTCCATCATTTTTTTTGATATTTTTTCATCCAGGTAAGCTGATGTTGTTTCGCTAATTTCATGAGAAAAGGAATCTTTCATGAAATATAAACCTTAAATCCAAGTTCTTGTAGATTTTGCTGAACTGTTTGTGGTGCTATATTTAAACTGGGATAAGTGTTATTAAGAGTCTCCACTATCTCCTTGCTCATTGCACTTTTTTTTTAGTTGCAATTTCCCAAGATGTTTCCATTGTCCAAGGCTAGATGACCTGAATATTGGCCTTGCTTTAGATTATTTGTTTTGGCAAGCTTGGCAGTCCATCTGTATAATGTTTTGGTAGGAAATCCAGTTATTCTTCGAAGTTTGATGACTTTCCTATATCCACATTCCCATAATGACTTGACAAGAAAATGTCTCCTTGCGAGAAAACTCATGTGTAATGATAACAATGATAAAAATATTTTTTACCCATCTTAAATCACATAATAAACATATCTGTAACTAGTTTTAGTGTTACTGTAACGTAAAAAAAGATCTGGTGGCATAATTTCTAAAATGAAAAGAATTGTCACTTTTTTCCGCCACCACTGTATATGTTATTTGTGAAAAATAAATAAGATGATTTAGTAAATGTTTAATAATCAAGTAAAATAAAAAATATAGTACATTATCTTATTAATCAATGTTTTCATCAGGAATTTAATTAATTTCAACAGAGATTTATACTATATAAATATGCATGAAGTATCACTATCATTACTTTCTGCCAGAACTATATTGTACAATAATATTTATTTATGAAATGCATCGTCTGACAAATAGTTTCGTCAGTTATCATTAAAACAAATATATAACGGTACGTCTAAACTTTAAACTTTCACTATTCGGTATCTTTAAAAGCTGTACACGTAGTAAGTAAATTAAAATTATAAGCATTAGATATTTGTGAAGCTTTACATGTATAATGAAATATAAGTTTACAGTATATAATCAAAAATTTTATATGATATCTTGAAACTTTAATATTCAATTTTTTTGAGCTTACATTGTAGATTTACATGTATGTGCTGACATGTGATTAATACAATACAACAAGCAAATAGCTTTGTTTATAACAGATCGATATAAAACTGACAATTGTAAAATCGGGTTATTATATTCAGAATTCACATATGCTATGTTAAGACTGCATGTGTTAACTAATACTTATTACACATGTAAAACTTAAATATTCAAAATACATGTACATATAACTTTAAATCAATGTGAGATACATGTATCATTATTTGATTTTAATATACATGTATTAATATTTTAAGAAGAAAATTACAACTAACTTAGAAAGCAATTAAAAATTGGGTTAAATTATAGTTCAATGAAATTATTTTATGCATCATATTTTATAAAATTATATTTTATATTAAATCCAATTACCGTTTGCCTTAATCATGCAGTATATAAAAGTTCATATAATAAAAATCACATGTAGTTTCTCACAACATACCTCTATAAAAATATTGTATAAAAGAACTAGATGTTGAAAGGGTCTACATTAAAAACCACTTCTTTATAAGAACAACCACTCTATAAGAACTAGATTTGTTTTGTTTTTTATAGAGGTACGATTGTATATAACGATCTTCGTGTTAGCATTGATGTTAACACGTATTTGAATTCAAATCCAAATCAAGGATCAGTTTACATGAATAGATTTGTAAAATTTTTAATCTGTATGCGTAATGCCAATTCTTATAATCAAATTTAAAAATCAGTCACGTTTTTCGTAGACAATTTGGGCGGGAAAATCTACTGTACGCCGAGTCAAGGTAAGCAGTGAACAAAAATTATATGACAATAATAAATTTTTTTTTATTTTTTTTTTATTTTACATTTTGTTTTTTAAATATAAAATTTAAACAAAAATCTTCTTCCCTTATGGGACTAACGGGAAGGAAGGAATGGTTGTTCCACCCCCCGCAAGCTCCCATAAGAGAAGAAGATTTTTGGCCGGTATTCCGGCGCCTCCCTCATCACGCTAATCAATGTTAAAAAACGATTTAGTAAAATCAACATAATTAAAAAACGATCCAAAGTGAAAAAGAAAAATGTACCTGCTGTTTCGGAATTTTTCGATCAAGGCGTGCTTGCCCTGTATGTTAGCATACGAGAGCTCGCACACCTTGTCCGAATTAAAATGGTCCCACCTTTTACCAACGCGGTTCTCGATGAACGAGAGCACCGCGCTATATAGAAAAATATTAAAAATTAAGTAATAGGTTTAAAAGTTTGTTCTCTAATAATAAATCAATATTGATCTTTAAAACTTACTTGGTGTCAACAAAATTAATAAATGCGTACCCCACATTGCAGCGATTTTTAAAGTCAATTCTTAGGTATATAAAATCGTACTGCCCTTTGTGGGTCGCGTCGAGGGTTTCCAACAACATCCGCTGTTAATATGTAATAATACAAATAAAATAAGTAAATGGTCAATTTTGTTATTCAAAATCGAAGAAAAAATATATATATATACCTGAGTATATTTGTTGGGAATGTTTCTAATCATAAATGTAGTCCTATCATCCTGACCTGATAAAGAGCATATATGCTAGCGTTAGATTTTAACTATTAGAAAAACGAGCACAAATAAAAAAGAATTATATCTTACCTCGTGCTATTTTCGCAACGTCAATTGCATTATGAGCAGAGATCGTACGGTTTCCAGATGCAATAATGCTACTGTTTTGACGAGCTACAATTTGTCTAGCCGTATTTGGTCCGCATTCAGGAGATGTTTCACGTAATGGGTTATCCAAAGCCTCTTCTTTAGGTTTGTAAATCGCTTTCCACGAATAAACTTCATGATTATAAAATTCGATCTTCAATGTCGCATTCTACATATTGCAGAGAGAAGAGAAAACTCAGAATTATTCTAAGTATAATAAGGCTTCATGTTAAATATGAAAGAATTACACGAATTAATTTATCGTCCGCAATTTGCTTGGCGTCAGCCGCATCTCTAGTATCATAGTATTCAATTAGCATTCTCTGAGAATTTTTCGAATTTAATAAGGGTTTTACTGATAAAATATCTCCATATATGCTGAATTCGTTCTAAATGAAATAATTTGAGTCATGTGAAAACTTGATATAATGCTAGTTCATATATAAACTCACTTTAATTCTGGACTCTTCTAGTCTTCTTCCAAGGACATGTAACAAAATTATTCCTTCGTTGTCCCATTCCCATTGTTCTAGGTCATCCAAGTCAGCCGCCTAAAGTATTTATGAAAATGTAATTAATTTAAGTAATTTATATATGAATTATTTAACGCATGTTTGCCCCCTTTTTTTACCTTCTTGGAGAACGGTCTTGAACAAAATTCAGCGTTCAAATAACTATCACCTAGCAAGTATCCTTGAAGTACTTTACGTGCTTTCATTGCGTCTCTAATGTCATAATACACTACATAAATGAGTCCTTCAGAGTCCAAAAGCCCAACAAGTACATTGTTTACTTCTCCTTGAGCCTGTTTATGGATTGATTAATTATTATAATTTACGTAGTTTAAAAGAGATATCAAATGTTTTTTACCCATAATAAATTGATTAATGCGCGTCGATCAGTATTTTTCGGCACGTTAGAAATGTATAGCCATCTAGAAGGTTTAGCGCCCCAAAAGTTGCCATATTCCGATAATGCAGTATAATCCATGAGACCTCTAGATGGCGTCGTATCTTCATTCTCAGCTAGTATAACCGGATTGCTTTCGTGAATACAAGATTGAAATTCAAACAAATTGGCACTTTGTTGACAGATTGATAATGATTCAGAAAGTTTTCGTTCTGGGGGGAAATATTTATGAGCGATATTACGTAATATTATGCTGTTTAGACCATTTCGCGTGAAAATCTTATTTTCCTCAACTGAGTTGGAAGTTTTTGATGATTTAATTTGTGTATTGTTTGTTTCAGGCGTTAAAGATAACTGTTGATTGTGCATGTATTTCGATTCCATTGATGGAATTATATCCAAAAATGGTTTTAAATTTATTGATATTGGTGATTCCGAATGTGGAAAAAATCTTGAATTTCTCAAATTATCAATGGGAGAGTCCGTTAAGCGTGTTAAATAAGGAACATTATGGATATCCGGAGAATTTGGATTGCTCAGTCTAGCTATGTAAAAACGTGTATCGGGTGCTGAACGTGAAATTTCGTCGATCGGTTCTGATTCGGATACATGTAGATGATCATGCTTCAAATCCGAGATAGATGTAGTAACCATAGATGTTTTCATTGGTATTTGAGAATCAGAAACAGTAAGTCCCTGAGTCGTTTTTAATTCGTGGTTGACTTTAGCTGTCTTCAATGTTTGTTCTCGTGATGTAGAAACGGGAATAAAAGTTGCTGGATTCATTTCGGCACCATGTACATGTATATCTGTATCAGAATCAACACCCAACGTGTCAATTTGAGAGAATAAAGTCGAAATCGAATGCTTGGGTTTCAAAATGTCTTGTGAACCAGCATGAAAAACTGGCTTTTTTGAATCACTTTCTATTGACGATCGGCACACGCCTATTGTCGTGTCAATATTTGGATCCGACATGATAGCAACCGACGAGTCTTCAATGAAATCGGTTTCCGCTTCAATCAATATTTTATCCATTTCAATATCCGAATTATTTTCAGCTGAAGCTTTTTGAAAACAACCTGGTTCTTTTTCAACATACAGTGGTGCTTGTGTTTCTATGTCCGACGCGTTCTCAATAAACCAGTCTTCATGTGAATTAACTTCCTCTTTACTGAATAATGAATGATTATCAGATTCCGACTCGACTTCAATTAAAGAAGCTTCAGGCAAGTGAGGTTCATTCTCGCTTGATAAAGCCTTCACATTCGAGTCCGATGCGTCATCAACCAACGAGCCTACGGAAGAATTCAATTCTGATTCATTTATTAAATTTTCCAAGCCATGATCCGACGCCAAGTTTTCAAGTTCGTTTTCATTTGGGATTTCCGTATATTGCGCAATAACAACTGTAGGATCTTCAGGTGATTTGGTTTCATTTGAAGATTGTCTTATTTCTCGATTCATCATCATTGCTGCTGATAATTCTTTTTGTAAATCGCCTTCGTTATAATTTGGTGATGTGCTTAATGACATTTCTACTGGTGTTTCGAAATCCGCTTGATTTGAGCTTGATTGCGTGTATGCATCTGATACGGATGCAACTGATGCTACTTGGCCAACCTTTGTTGTTTTTGTAACGGTATATTCAATGGAAGAGGTTCTTGACGAATGCGATTCTTTTCTATTTGATGAGAATTCTGCGATCGCATTTGACGCACTAGTAACAGCGTTATCATTTAGTTCTTTCTCAGTTGCTACTTGTACAGATTCTTCGGACAAAATATTAGTTGAGGAGTCTTTTGTTACGGTTGATGAGACCACAGCTGAATAATCTTTAGACGTTTCGTGCGTCTTTTCGTTCGGTGATGATTGCATACTTGTTTCCGATGAAACCGCCACCAATAATTCTACAACGTAACAAATGGATATTAGATATATATATCTGCTTTGATCGAGGGATGGAAATATCGAACTTGCTCAAGATTACCTGCTGTGTCGCTTGTAAAGGACAAATAATATTTGAAAATCTCGTTAAAGAATATAACGGCAACGATGCTGTATCCGACGAATGTGATGATGATATCAACTGTTAGTACTGAAAATGATTGAAGGATTAGAACGAATATAATCTTCGTGGAAGTGAATCAGGATGCATGAAATCATAATGCGTACAATACCATTTAAAATGATGTTCAAGTTTTCAACTGAACAAAAAACTTCGAGGGATCGGATATCCATAACGTTCATTACCAACGTTAGTCACACTGATTCGTCCGTTAACCTTTTATAGATAAAAGCTGGGGTGAATGCGAATGGTAAAGACTCGTAATGTATGTCTGCTGTAACACAACAGTAATTTTATCGATGTTTTCAAGCATACATACTTTTCTGTTAAGGTTATACGAGAAAACCAATTGAAATGATGTTAGAACGAAATGAAAAGTTAAGTCAAGATGTTCCAAACTAAATAAGGTCAAAGACAAGTCAAAAAAGTTCAAACCCATAGACTTGTTTTGTATAATAAAAGAATTTTGAATATGACAATAATAATAATGTTAGCAATAAAAGTAATTTTGTTTAATAACTCGATTTTCCGAGTTTACTGACCTTTGAGAATAAAAAAGAATGAAGAAAGGCAGGAGAATAAGAAAGCTTTTATAAATCAAGAAAGCAATTTTTCCTTATATCTTTTATCTCTACAATTGAAATATTGTTTAGCCTGTTAAATTGCATAATCGCACTAGCGCTAGTAGATCACTTATCCATGAAAAAGCTATTTACACTCAGATTACATCATATCGTTATTTTATTTGATGAACGAAACAATTCATTTTTGATCTTTTTGCCAATTGTAGTAATCTGGCTTCGATACAACTCACGGAAAAGACTAGGGTTTTAAGAGGCGCATCTATAGATCAAATTGATAGTAACGGTACATCAATTATATTATGAATACACAGATTTTATATATCAAGATATATATATGTATATATTTTTCGCTTTTAAATTAAAATTGATGAATACATACATGTACGATTAATTACACCGGCGTTACGATAAAATGTATGGTGGTGAAGTTAGGGAAAATGTGAGAATGGGTTCAAGGTATTATACATGTTTATATACCTGACTTTTTCGTGTAGCTTGTAATTACACAACTCAGAATAGGTTGTAAAATGATACATTTGGATTTTATAGGACTAATACTACATGCATTGAAACGTTATTGACTAGTGTTGTAAATCCAATGTTTTATTTCCTTATTGTATTTAAGACCATTAGTCCAATTTCTTGAGTCATACTCTGGGGTTAAGTCACATTGTGTGGAGTATTGTGTTGTGTGCAATAGAAATGGCACGAATTGTATTAGAATTTCTAATATAATTTACATCGTTTCTTGTATCTATTGGTTGTGGCAAAAAATATATTGATCACGTACTTATAGTGTTCAATTAACAATTTTTGGCGCTTTTAATTGCAAGATAATGTCTCGCCAAAATTTATCTCGTTGAAATCTCCAACCTCATTCCTAGTACTCTGAAAAGACCGAAATGAAAACTGATATAATTAAAAAAAATCATGACATTTAGGAGACTATTATTCTAAAGTAACACTATAAATTCTCTAAATATACGTTCTTACTAACAGGAGCTCTATATGTTTTGCTTTTCCTAAGTGCACTCCTTCTTAAATGTACACTACTCTGTACTTTTTTAGTCCCAAGGCGAAATTTAGGGAGGTTTCTCTGATACTTGAAATTACCCACTTCATGGATTTGCAAACTTTAAAATACAACATAACCTTTACGTATTTGCAAGATTGCGAATTATCAATTAATTTTATATTAATCTAAACAAAAAACCAACGATAAGATGTTAAGTCTTGCCTATCCCTATACAACTACCTTGATATAGTAAATTCGTGATATATGTTTTCTGTTCCTTTATATTAGATATAGTGAAGCGTCCATCACGTGATCAAAGTGGCTGATGTACACTTCGGAATCGGGAATATCGATTCTCATAAGAATGATAATCATAAGCCTTAATGTAACAAATTCTGAAAATTTTGAGACTAGCAGCTCAACCATTTCATTATATCAAAGTTTAACTGTACATATATTTTTGAACAGAAAGTGATGCTATAACTATATATAAAACTATAAAACTAACAGAATGTGAAGTATACAAGACATTATCATCTCGTTTGGATTGTTCACCTCAAATTTCATATAATAATAATTATAATAAAGTTGGTATTACAAGCTATATTTAAGAAGATAGGTTTTATCCAAGATATAGCTTATAATAATATGACTGAATTATTTATAATGTTGAGTGGGATCAAAAGACTTTCTAGTGCCAATATTTACAAGTATTATATCAACACAAGACTAATAAATGAAGGGGATATGATCACAAAAAATTAAAGGTATCAAAAACTAAATTACAAATCAAATACTAAAACTAGAAAACTAATATTATTAAGTATACTAACTTAATCTTCTTTCACCTTCTTTTCAAGTAAAAGGTAAAACAAAGATATATATCAAACAAAATTAAACTAAAGTTTTTCTACTTAAAAAAGCTCACAAAATTTTTCTAATAAAATAAAGCAATATATAACTTATTTAAAGTTAAGATCTTTAACTATAATCATTTTTCAGACAAGAAAAATATATAATAATTAGATATAATCTATTATAATAAAAAGATAAATAAAAGTTATTATCAAAGTAAAGATTCACTAATAATTATAATAAGTAGAATTTAATTATTAAAATTAAATTTAAACTTTCAAGTATATTTATTTTAAGTCTTTAAATATAAATATTTATATATATTTAAGATTATATAAAATTATTAGATACTAAGCTAGTGTAATCTTCTTGTTATAAGTTATATTTTAATAAGAAATTCAAATAAAAAATCAAATTAAAAGCAAATAGATTTAATTTAATTTTATAACTTATAATTTATTTTATTAATATTAAATTAGTTAAAAATTATAGAATAAATATAGTATCTTTAAATAATAATTTAAAAATATATAAATTATTAATATATAATTACTTATTAAATAATACTTTTAAAAAATACTTATTATTATATAAATATAAAAATTAAATAAAAATAATAATATATTAATTAAATAAATGAAATAAAACAAAAATAATTTTAAATAGAAATCTAATTAATAATTATATAATACTTAATAAAAAAAATTATATAATATAATATCTTGATATATATAATATGTAATATAATAATTATTCTATAATCTTAAAAATTATTATATATATTCTTTCTTAAATTTAATATTTTTATTAATATTTAAATAATTCAAAAAATTTTATAAGATTTATAATATTATAAAGATTTCTTAAGAATTTTTAAATAATATTATAAAAAAAATATTTAGCTTATTTAATTAAATATTAAAATTTATTATAAATAATATTTTTATTCAAGATTATTTTAACTTTATCTTTCTTTTTTAATTTAAATATAATTATAATTAATAATAATATTAAATATATAAATTCTTTATTATTATTTAAATTATATAATTTAATAATATAATATAAAAGATAAAATAAATTTTATATATAATAATAAATTCAATTTATATAATAAATAAAATAATATTAATTATAAAAAAATTGATATATTTTAATATAAGCTTTTTATTTAAATATTATTTATTTACAAGATTAATAATATATATATAAATAATAAAATCTAATTTTAATATTAAAATCTTAATAATAATAATATTAATTAATATATTTTACTTATTAATTTTGAGTTTTTATTAATAAATTCTTAATATTCTTAATTATATTATTCTAATTTTAAATAAATTTATTAATAATTATTTTATTATTTATTATAAGTATTAATAATATAAGAGAATATTAATTATAATTATATTAAATTATTATATATAAATTTAATAATAATAAAATATTTATTCTAGTAATTTTAATAATAAATTAAGTAAATATAATATATTTTTTCTAAGATTTAATTTTTTTTAATTTATTTATTCAAATATAAATAGAATATAATTAATATTACTAATTTTATATGAATTTATTCAAAAAACTTTTAAAATTAGCTTATAAATTTACTATTTTGATTTAAAAATTATAATATAAGATAATTTATATAGCTTAAAGATATTTTTAAAAAATAATTTAGTAATTCTAATATAATAATTGATATATATTGAAATAAAATAAATATATCAAGTAAAATAATTAATAATAATAAGAATAATATTATATTTTTAATAAATAATTAATAATTATATAATAAAATTTATAATAATTTATTTAAAGATATTTAAAAATTATAAAAGTTTTTGAAAATAATTAGTTATTATTTTTATTATATTAAAATTTTTTATAACTTATAATATTATTACCGTAGTAGCATAAAAATTCTTAATTCCTTAATCTTTTTGTGGTTATGCAAAATCACATTTTCTTATAACTTTT